TTTTTTGGAAAACTGCTATTTTTACTAACTGGTTCTATTCGAATAATTTAAGGCTTTATCCGAGTTAATCAAATCACATTGAACGATTGTTCGAGTAAATTTTCATTTATCGAATGAAGATTATGAATATCTACAACTAGAATGAGTGATTCCGCCGATAGAAAACCTTTTCCGGCTAAGATCTTGGATCAAATAATTTATTAGACAAACAAGAACTGCCCCAAGACCAGAACGTTTACTAAGAATTGACACATAAAAAATAATTACATTCCAAATAGCGTTCGTTGTGTTGTGAACAATTATTTGTTTGAGTGGAGGAATAAGAACAGGCACGAATTTGATAACGTAAAAATAAATGTTGGTTTGATTCATGTTGTCAACAATCACTTCACTAACAGTTGTTTCGTTAACAAATGGTTCGAATTTAAGAAGTTGGAAGCAACCGTGCGACAACCCTTTGAAATAATCTAATAAATTAAATTGTACTACTCGAAAATGTATTTAAAGGGTTGGTTTTCGACTTGGTTGAAGAATAACTCTCTTCCTAACTCTTCTCTTGACCATATCTCTCGATATAATCAATATAATGAATGTCAATGAAATGGTTGTAAACACAACAAATTTAAGATATACATCATCATCAACTGTATTTTCGTTATTTTCGATAAACTCATTTTCGTTTAATCTTTTCGTCATACTTTTTTTTAGTGCGTTTTGATTTCAACTTGAAGATAGTCCAAGATATCAAACATTTAGATTGGCACCTTTGTAGACAATAATTGTGATAACCATGTCCACACGTGAGTATATACACTACAATTATTCAAATTAGCATAGTTAGCGTAATCACAATATACGTAATTGCAAAAAATGTTTGTGTATGGTTTCCTAGAAGTAATAAAGCCTCTTGGAAGGCAACGATGGGTTATTTCGTAAACTAAAGAAGGCAAGTAACACCATTAGATGAAGTTTTGGTAATCAAAGGATACTGATTTTGTGCTTGATATAGTGGTAGTATCAGATTGTCTCTGGACGTGAATGCAACTTGCTTCTTTTACAATCTACTGTTCTTGATGTTGTAGTTGCTCCAAGACTTGTATCTACCGAACCTAAACATAATGCAAGGTCGAATTTAAAAGAGTTAATTTTTGTATTATTCATTTTGTCGACACCCATTTCGTCGAATGTTTGTTTCGTCGAATGTTCATTTCGTCGAAAATTATTTCGTCAGAAAAAAAAACTTCATTAAACAAATTCCTCCTCACACTTGCCACAAACTCCTAATTTTCTTAACTAACTTCCCATACTCCTCACATCTAACTCGTTTGGTCTCTGGCTCAAGGATGAAATAATTTTTGACAAAATGAACTTTCGACGTAAACTTTCGACGAAGTAAACGCGACCCATATGATAATATGAGAGAGGATATAATTAATTCATCATTAATGATTGACTACTTGCAGCCAAAAACCTACTTTAATTTTGGCATCAGAAAAAAGATCCACGTACGAATATACGCAAACCTTTAATTATATCATGAAATTAAATTCTAAATAACCAAATTCTCTCATTTAACCAAAACACCACCTTGCCAGATACTGTTTCATTAGTTTTTGTGGTGATTTTTACCAATCTGATCATTAACAGAATCGATGACATTTTTGATGATGATAAAAAAATTGCAGGTGATATAATAATATAATATTACATTTATTGTTGTCATTTGGCGCTAGTATTTATAACTTGAATCAACAATAAAGTAGATTTACAATCACACGAGAAATCAAATTAAATGCAGCCACGATCAACCAAATTTGATTAGCTTTAATTACATAAACACTTTATTCTACCACTTTAGTATTATTATTAACCCAATATTCAAGTTTTTATCATACGCATACGTGAAACACGTGCACAAATGAGCAAAGAACGAAAATTCGAAAAATATAATATGTGGTTTAGTTTTTTTGATTTATATATTAACAAAAAGTAACTGACATTTATTTAATTGAATCAATCACGAAGAAAATTTCAATTTGATTTGATTTACAAGTGATTAAAGGAACCAAATTTCAATCAAAATTTTTGATTCTTTTTTTAAATCAAACACCCAACAAAAGTAAAAAATTTGTTCCCAAAAAATTATTTTATCCTAATGATAATTTCATTATCATTGTCTATATCATATCATTGTCATGTCATTGTCATATCATGTCCATGTCCTATTTCTTAATACTATACTTAAAGAAATCAGTTCATTCCCGTGAAACTCTGATTTACTTTTTGGGACATTCTTCAGTTAGGCCGGTTTTATTGTTATTTTTATTAACACAAGTAAGAAACGAAACATTTGCCGTGTCATGACCACCTTCCAAAATCAGTATGGCAAGCGACCTTCGTGCAGGTTTCTGGCCGATTGTCTCCTTTTGCGTTTGGTTTTTTCGGCTTTTGGAGCGATCAACGTTTTTACCATATTTAGCAAAAATAGTGTCGTACACCAAATGTTTCGTTTCTTAATAGATTCAATTGCAAGCGTGCATGCAATGCTTTGCAAGGTGAGGAGAGAGGCATTATCAATGAACCATGTTTTTCAAACCTAATTGTTGGGAAGGAATTTTTTGTTTTCGTTGGGTGGTAAATTTCAAAAAAAAATTTTTTTTATTTTTCTGAAATCGATCTACATGATTATTTATTCTTTTCTTTCTTTGATGATCAAATAAATAAATATCTTTTTCCAACCGAAGAGGATTGTTTTAATAAGAATATATTTTGCTATTTTACATTTTAAGATATTTAATTTTTTCAACAATTGAACCTTTGTTATTTTATTATATGTTCTACTAACAAGTTATTTCTTTAATAATCATTCTCTCTTTTATTTATTAATATTGAATTTTTTACAATTTTATATATACACAATTGTTTAAATGTGTCAATCATCATCGACCAATCACAAATTCCATTATTTAACAGATAGCAAAGGTCTTTTCGACCCTCGGGTAAATCCACTCGATTTCGCTTCATCAATTATTCAAATAATTATATAGGCGGGCTTGGTAGAAGTAAGTATTAAAGTCAAGATCTATTTGCAAATCAAGTTTCCAAAATGAACGTTTATTATTATATGCGGGTTTGATCAAAGTAAGTCTTAAAGTCGAGATCTACGAAGCTGTTTGTAAAATATATTTAATTAACGTTTTATTATTATCAACTATTCAATAACTATATATGCGGGTTTGATTGGTCAAGATCTATATAATTAGATTGTTAATGGTCAACAATGGAATTTTATTACATGCAAAAAAAAATTTTTTGAGTTGTAGATTTTGTTTTATTAAATAAATTTGTTTGATTTTTTCATTCATCGTTCATGTTTCCCCTTGATCGTATATCTTAAATTGGTCGCGTTTACAATCATTTTGTCATTCGTTATATTAAGGTTATTTTGATTATATCAAGAGATATGGTCAAGAGAAGAGTTAGGAAGAGAGTTATTCTTCAACCAAGTCGAAAACCAACCCTTTAAATGCATTTTCGAGTAGTACAGTTTAATTTATTAGACTATTTCAAATGGTTGCTTCCAACTTCTTAATAAATTCGAACCATTTGTTAACAAAACAACTGTTGGTGAAGTGATTGTTGACAAAATGGATCAATTCAATGTTTTATGTTAATGTTTATTTTTACATTATCAAATTCACAATTTTGATTGGTCGATCAACAATTGCGTGGTTAAAATTTTGTGTTATCAGAACGGTCTCTACTGTTATATGTAATAAATGATTGAATCAATTGAATTGTGTATTTTTGTTATTCTGATGCTATGAAACACTCGGTGCAGTGGTATTTTTATTTTTAGACCATCTTGTATAACATTGTGTAATGATAAATGATTTCGTGGTTTGAATGTGCTCATCGTCTGTAAACTTGATTGCTTGAAGATGGACAGGGACGTCGTAGAAAGTTGAGTTCCGTGCGCTGAAATGGCTTGAGAGGAATTTCTCTACAAAAAAAACGAAAAAAAAATGTGGGGACGGCCGTCCTATTTTGTATTTTTTTGAATTGATAAAATAGACTATTATTGTCTTGACCTGAGTGATGTCATTGTGTGAGTAAAAGACACGAAGCTCGCTGTCACGTTTTCGTTTAAAAACTTGTTTTCTGTGTTAACAAAACATTTGCCGTACGACACAATTTTTTGCTAAATATGGTGAAAACGTTGATCGCGCCAAAAACCGAAAAGACCAGGCGCGGCTAGACGCAAAAGGGGACAATCGGTGAGAAAACTGCACAGAAGTCGCACGACTTGCGAGTTTTGGTTACTTGTGTTAATTAATAATAATAATTAATGACAAACTTTAAACCATTATAACTTTTCATTTCAATAAAATTTAAAAAAACTCTTTATTGCATCTTTCCTTATGTCTTATAGAAGAATAAAACTATAGAGTTTTTTTTTTATCTTGCATGGTCATTGAACTTATACATTTTAAAGTTTAGCCAAAATTTTTGATGTCGACACCATAACAATAATAGCACTAATACCAGTAGTAATGATGAAGGTAACAGCAAAATAATGATGAAATACCAGTAAAAAAAAATTAAATCGGACAACAATAATAGTATTAATAGTAATGATGAAGGTAACAGCACAATTATTGACAATGAAGAAGATGATGACAAAGATGTTGATGAAAGATCAGTAAAAAAAATTCAATCAGACAATAATAATCAAAAATGACTATAATAATGATAATTCTAATAAAATATTCTGGTGAATGAAAAGGAATAAAAAGAAAAACAACAAGAACCAGAAATAAGAAATAAGAAGTTTAGTTTGAATTTATTATTTACTATTTTTATTTCTTGTTTTGAATTGATTTTGTTGTTATTTACACTATTGGAAGAGAAAAACTCCAAAGTTAATGTAATTATTTATCTAAATTATATTTTTCCTATAAGATAAAATAAAATACACCAAAATCTTAAAATTAAAGTTATTAGTTGTTTAGTTCTTTCCTACGTCTACGAGATTTATCATTAATATTTCTATCATTGATATTATTAATATTATTGTTAATGTTAGTATCATCTTTATTACTACAAATTAGTTTTTTATAAATTAAAATAGGGATTGAAAATACAAAAATATTCAAAATTCTTGGTTTCTCGATTTCATTCTCATCCATAATAAATTGTTCGCCATCTTTAGTCAACAAGAAAACATTATCATAATCAACAATGAAATTCTTTTCATTAACAAAAATTTTTTTCCTGGTGTTTTGTTTTTTCATTCTTTTACCACAGGCGATTTCTCTCGATTCTTGTATATAATATCGTACACGTTGCTTGTCCCGATAATAGTTTATCCACGTGATAACATAATGAAACAATGATGATAGCATTAATAAAAATATTACTACGGTACCAAGTCCTGGTCTATGACGGTTATAATAATAGCCAGTACCACGCCATTTTGGTACTCCATTCTTTAGAAAAAAATTGTATCGTTCTCTTGACTCTGAATTACGCAAAATTGCACCTATTAAACCTAATCTAGAAAATCTTTCTTTGCTATCTTTATCAGGATTTTTATCCGGGCTAAATAATAATAAAATCGTTAAGTTTTTACATGTATTTATTATCATAATATACAAATAAACTTACTGTAAAGTTAAAGATAATTTACGATACGCTTTATTAATTTCTTTCTCGTTGGCTGTAGGTTCTACTCCGAGCCATGAATAAAAAGTTACATCTTCCCCTTCTGCATTTTCTAAATCGTCTACTAAATCAAATATTTCGTGATCCTCTGTTTTATTTTAGGATATAAAAAAATTTGAACTTATTGAATTTATTTTATTCCGTATTATATAGATATATATATTCTAATTTATTATAATAATGAACCTTGTCCCCAAGCTTTTATTAGCGAGATAAATATAAAAATCGAAAAAATTAAAAATGTGCAAAATTTAAATTTTTTCATTTTAATTATTTTGAAAAAAAACCCCCAAAAAATTATATTTTAATTTATATTTTTATTTTATTATGGCTAAAGAAGGAGATAAGTGATTGATTCGACTGAAAAGAACAATTTTTACGTGTTATAAAATCGTTAGAGGATTTCGTAACACAGCCACCCAAAGTTTATCATGGTAAACGTACATTATAAATGAAACACACCCTAAGCCCTTCACTGCTGCGATTTTTTTTAAAGAAAAACTGTCAGAGCTTATTAGAGCGTACCATATTAATATATAATTTTTTCTCTTGTTTAGTCAGTTCACAACCCCACGCTGCAAAATTTCAGATAATTCAACTGGAATTCAACACACTGAATGAACAATTAAAAAGCTAAAGAATCAAATAATCCAGCAAAAGCACTAGAATTAAAGACAGGAACTATTGAATTGTATAAAAAACATAATGTTAGTCCATTTAAAGGCCCACTAACCATACTTTTTAATTATCCAAACCTGCATTTCCTACATAGAAAAGTTTTCATCACACTAAAACTGTTAACTTTTAGATAAAATTGTTTTTTGAGATTACTTCAATTAGCAATTTTAGCTTCCTAACTTACTACCTCGTTATTTTTATAATAAACTTGAACTTCATTGTTAGAGTAAAATGAAAGTACTCCATTAAAGCTTTCTAAGGTCCTCTCTACATGAATTAATGGCTATTAAAAAACGGTATTACTTCTTTGCTTCAAACCTCAGATTATTTCTCAATATCACTTTAAAAGACTTGATAGTAAATGAGGTGTAGAATATTTTAAGCTTTCATATGGTTATTGCTTTATGGGGGTGTTGGTTAATAAGTTTTAGAGAGGTTCATGAAAAACTATTTTATAGAAATTTAATAGTCGCGAGGAATTTTATGTAAACTTGGTTGATTTCTTTTTTTAAAAACTTTTGCTGAATCTAATTCACAACCTATTATTTATGAAAGTAAGTAATAGATGTTATAGAAA